CACACACACACACACACACACACATTCCATGGACCCTAACACTTCTCGTCCCCTACACACACACACACACACATCCCATGGAACCTAACAGTTCTCTTCCCCTCTACACACACACACACACACACACACACACACACATCTCAATTGTATCACCAACTCTGGGCAACGTGGTGTGACCTCGCTTATCCATCAGCCAGTGACCTGCATCCTGTGCAGGCTGTCGGGGTTCAACCAGGACCTCCTGATGAGTCAGTGAAAGTCCGAACGAAGCAGTCTGGCACAATCATGTGTTCTTTTTTTTGTTTTTTTGTGGAGCTGTATATAGCGAACATGACCACACACAGACACATAGACACACAGACACACAGCGTTTTGATCCCAAAAAAGAAAGAAGACAAAAGCCTGCGAAAAAGATAAAAACATATACTAGCTGAAGTTGCTAAACTAGTAACTTGGCAATTCCTACTTAACTAATCCGGATATTATATTAGCTAAATCATTTATTCAATTTATTGTGTAAAAAAAAAAAAAATCATTTATTGTGAATGAAGAGGGAACAATGCATCGATGACGTCATTCGATAGAATATTATGAGGATCGAGATCCCGTCTGGCCTGGTTGAAAGCGTCGACAGGAAATCTCTTCCTCAATCTGTCCGCTAATTCGCGTCTTTCAGCATCCGTCTCCGGAACCTCGATTTTAGCCCAGTGTTCGAAGGCCTGGTATTTGTCCCATAACTGCTGAGCAGACCTCTTCCGGTAATCCAGAAATCTCTCAGTAATCTTGCGCCTTACCTCCGGGTCGTCAGAGGGCAGGTACATGATGATTCCTACCCACGAGAAGACAGAGTCAGCATTTTGGTTCCGGGAGGAAGACGTAGGAGAAGAAGTAAGACTCTGAGGCGATGCAGGACTCATCGGAGACGAACTCACTGCCGTCCATCTCTGCTCGATGGGAGCTGGTGCTGCAATTCGCTCCGTCTTAATCATCGCCATCAACTCCTCCATGAAGGCGATGTCCTTCATGTTCGGCGACGACAGAGTTGCGATTGGAAACGCCACCTCAGATACCCATTGCTGTCCTCCGCACTCGAATCCGAGGATCTGATCGCTCCATCCAGCCCGATATCCGGCACTCTTCCTCCAAAACTCCGCCTCCGCTTGATTCACCCGCGCCACGTGGTCAGGATCGAATGGATTAACCGCAAGTAACTTGTCCCTCAGCTCAGTAAATGACAAACATTGTATATTTACCTCTTCTTCTTCTCTCACCCCTGCGTGGCCAGAACGTGGACCCGCAGACGCATCTCCTGCTGTTGAAGGAGACGTAGCGGGAAGGACGGGCGTCGAGCTCTCTGCTGCTAGTTCTTCTGCTACTACTGCTGCTGCTGCTGAAGACGAAGAAGATGAAGACGGTAAAGAAGGTGACGAAGGCGAGGTAGAAGAAGAAGGCGAAGACAACGGAGAAGGAGATGAGGGCGGCGGCGAAGTAGAAGATACTTCTTTGTAGAGGGCTCTGACATGAGCAAGACGTTCATCGAGAGAGAGATTTGATTGCTGTTGCTGCTGTGGGGAGCGAGTAAACCAGCTCCACCACGTCGCCTTCTGCTTTTCGGGAGCAACAGGATTGCACTGCACGACAACGACCGTGTCGGTGTATGGTATCCACATGTACCGAAGGTGCCGATTATTTCTTATCCATTCTTTGTGTTTCTTTTTTATTTCCTTTGCATTAGATGCGAAGGTATACTCGACCAACTGATGAGCTGGCACACACTGCAGTGTTACCTCTGTCACCACGCCGAGCGCCCCGAGCCCACAGCGCGCCAATTTGAATAACTCTGGATCTTTGTCCATCGATAGCTCTAGCACTCCTCTTGCCGGTGTGACCAGTTTCATTCTAATTACCTGCTCATCGACGGGAGGTAGGGTCGCTCCCGTCCCGTGCGCTCCCACCTGTGTGAACCCTCCGATCTGCTGCTCCTTGATCGATGCGTAGTTCTGCAATGTCAGTCCATGCTCTCTTAATGCCTCCACCACTTGGTCGACTCTCGCGCCCGCCTGAACTGTCACCGTCATCTTCTCCTTGTCCACATTTATAACCCGGTCGCACAGCGCCATATTTAGCATCCCCTCTTCGCATAGCGCTATTCCATTTGGCGAGAGTGCTGAGCCGACTGCCCTGATCTTTCGTTTGTTCGCGTGCGCCTCCGCAACCAGAGCAATCACCTCTTCCTCCGTCTCAGGTTGAAACAGGTCGCGAGTTCGAACCTCGTGCGTTCCACTCCAATTGACCACGGTTGTCGTCGATTCCGGGCTGCTGTCCCCTTCGCTGCCAACCTTTACATCCGAATCTGGTCCAAGTTTCGACTCATTCCGTTGTCCTCCTTCTCCTCCCCCCCCCCCCTTCTCCTCCCCTCGTAATTCTCCTTTTCCCAGCTCTCTAAGTACTGCCATTATCCCCGCTCCGCCCATCACCACCCCAGCAAGTCCGATTGTCGCAGCTATTCCCTTGCTTATCTTTCCCCCACGACCCGATCCCGACCCTGAGCCTCCGGTCTGTTTCGCCGACCCGGAGACTGCTCCATTCTCTTTCCCCTCCTCCTGCATGGCAGGCAAGCCTTGTGACCATGTCGCATTACCTCTGCTGATAAGCTGCTGCCCTCCATAGACGCAACCAGAACCCCCTCCTCTTTCCCACCTCGACGAGAGCACTAGGAAGGACGGAGGCTCTTCTGCGTGGATAGAGGAGGAGGAGGAGGAGGAGCACTCTGAGAAGGAAGAAGGCGAAGACGACGCCAATGATGATGATCGCAAATATCTGATGGCTGACAAATGACGACGTGTCAATCTGGTTTTGCTGCACAGCAGCTCCCCATCTGAATGGACTCCCCCGTGTCTGATTTCACGTCCAGATACATGCTTGCTGATTCTTCCAATTACGCGAACCGTTGTCTGACGTGTCACCACCCTCTGCATGATGGACACTGATTTCTGTTGAGGCTGATCCCTTCTGATTTAGCACATCCCTACAAGACCAAAAAAAAAAAAAAGCATTAAAAATAAAAAAGAACAAATTTCAAAAAAGAGCATTCCGCCATTCTGGTCGTAGTTCATCCCAGGGGCCTGGACCCACTAGCATCGAGTAAATCGGTGTGTGGCGTTCTTTTCTCATTTAAAAACGCATAAACAATGCTTTTTATCATTTACACGAATGCAAAGAAAAGGACCCAAAAACGAAAAATTACGGGGCCTGACATCGACATCATGAGAGAACTTCAGTGCATCCACACTTCCACCAACCCGGTACATCTGCATGCGACCTTCCCGCCGGCCTGTTCGCAGTCTTCCACGGAAATCTCAATATTCTCAATTTCTGCGAAAAAAAAAAGCAAGGCGCGAAGCTGCAAAAACGCCCCCCCCCTTGAGAAACTCCAATATTGCAGCTTCGGGACAACGCAAAGTGGCTAGCTAAATGGACTGAAAAATTAAAACGAAACTCTTCCATTGGCCAGCGGACAGATACCTCCACGAAATCGGTCCTTATCGCCCTGCGTCGAAGATACACAAAACGATCAACGGTGGCCGGATGTCACCTCTCGCCGCACGTCATTGAAAACCAAACTGCTGAAGCGTAAATCGATGCTAGTGGGTCCAGGCCCCTGGCCTACAAAATGGAGAGCAATCGACATTTCAAAAATGCAATTTTTATAATTATTATTATTATTTTTTTAATTAGGCAGTGGTCCTGGACCCCATTTCCAGCCGAGCAGAAGCTGGGTAGGCGTCCCAGTATGAGACTCTCCACTGAGTCTCCAGTTTTTTTTTTTCTTTTTTTTCTCCAGACTGAAAAAGATCACCGAGATTTTTGAGCGCCAGCTGTCTGATACATAGAAGGCCGAAAGGTCCAAATACTTTGAGAATTCCGGGCTTCCGATTTTATTATTATTATTTTTTTTTTTCCGCGCCTCTTTTTTACTTACAACGGAAATATGAAGTTATGTGTGGTGTGTGGGAGAGTGTTGGCCTCAGAGGCTCAGACACTACTGTTATTCCATGGGGGTGAGGAGACATGAAAAAGGGAGGCGCAGCTACCAGCAAAATCCTCATCTTTGCATTAGCCGGGGCCCCACGGGCAGGCCCCAAACCCTGCACCACCCTAAACCAGGTAGGGCAAGGGGTAAACATGGAATATCCCCTTTTCACTGAGGTAGCTAGCTATGCTTGCAGGGGTCCCGTCTATATAATATAGCCTTAGGCGTAGTGTCAGCTTCGTTTCATTAAAAAAAAAAAAAAAAACCCGACAGGTGAGACAAAAGAAAGTACCCTTACTGTAAGAAGAATTGAAAAGTTTAACATGACACAAGAAAGAGAACTTCTTTTTCTTTTTTTTTTCACAAGAAAGAAAGCTTAGGTTCACCCATGGCAAGGATGCTCCTATTAGAACTGGAAATGCCTATCAGCAACTCAGGTGCATTCTGGCGTGGGAATATCTGAACATGTCAAACATGCCTATCAGCAAGTGAGCGGAGGCGGAGGAGAAGTGGCGGAGGCGGAGAGGAGATGACGGGAGGAGGCGGATGGGAGGTGGGCGGAGGCCGAGGGGAGATTGGCGATCCCAATGGCGGGAGGGAGGTAGGCGGAGACGGACAGGAGGTCGGTGCTCGCCATGGGGAGTTTTTTGTGTTTTTTCTTAAAGGCGGGCAGAGGGATGGCGGATGTGCGGGCAGCGGAACGGAGGCCAGAGCGGAGGCGAGCGGAGGTGGAGGAGAAGTGGGCAGAGGTGGAGAGGATATGGCAGGAGGAGGCGGGCGGGAGGTGGCTGAGGTGGAGAGGAGATGGTGGGATGAGGCGGACGGGAGGTGGCGGAGGCGGAGAGGTGATGGCGGGAGGAGATGACGGGAGGAGGCGGACGGGAGGAGGCGGACGGGAGGTGATGACGGCAGAGGAGAAGTGGCGGAGGCAGGGAGGAAAGCAAGAAGGTAGAGGAGATGTGGGTGGAGGTGGAGGGAGATGGCAGGAGGAGGCGGACGGGAGGTGGCAGAGGCGGAGAGGAGATGGCGGGAGGAGGCGGACGGGAGGTAGCGCAGGCGGAGAGGTGATGGCGGGACGAGATGGCAGGACGAGGAGGATGGGAGGTGGCAGAGGCATAGAGGAGATGGCGGGAAGAGGCGGACGGGAGGTGGAGGAGGCGGAGAGGAGATGGCGGGAGAAGGCGGAGGGGAGGTGGCGACCCTGGAACGGGCCAATGGCCAGCAGGTGCCGGGGCGATTCTTCTCCGACGGGCCCTCTGTTTCAACGGGCGCAACGATCCAGGCCGCCCGAGGTCCAACCGGGCCAATGGCTCGGATCGTCCCACGATCTTAAGACTTAAGGATCGCGCAATGATCCAGGCCGTCCGGCAGGGCAGGGAGGACGGCCTGGATCATCACACAATCTTGAAGTCCATGGGTGTTGTGGAGGCCAGTCACTGAGTACACAGTGATCACCTAGAGCAGTAGGCCGTGGGTGTCCTGAAATATGAGACCACCTCCCATCCCATCTTCACATCAATACTCCTAGCGCACCCCCTATCCCACTATCCTACCTCAGTGTGACAAGCACTCAGGACCATTACCCTACCAATGGGCACCAGGTAACGTGGACCGAACAGCAGTGATAGGCACCAGGGCTGATAAGTTGCCCAGCCCTGGTGGAAGCGGAATCGGACGAACCTTGTTGAACGGGAACTTCGGACACCAGGCCCAAACAATCTACTACAGGCCCCAAGAGACTCTGGGCCCTAGGTTTCAAACAGGGTAGAACCCATTGAAGCAGTCTTCCCGTCCTTCCCCTAGCTTACCCAAGGCCAGGCGGAACTCGGACTAGCCTGAGCGACTTATACCCCTACCCTTATCCCAGGGTCTAAGCCTTATATATAGCCACTAGACAGTTCTACCCGAATATCAGTAGGAACTCCAGTGGCCCATGACTGTCCCTACCGCAGATACTAGACCCCACCCAGTCTGATAGTTGTGTAGTTCGAAATGTATGTGTATACCCGAAGGCTGTGTATGCTTCGTGTATCTATGTATGAAGATATACAGACAACACTATGTGTGGAACTTATGTATGTAGCCCGTAGGCTATGTATAATTCGCAAGCTATATATATGCCCGAAGGCTGTGTGTGCTCTGTGAATCTATGTATTGAGATGTATAGGCAGCATCATGTGTGTATATCGAAGAGAGAACGGGGTAAGCTGGACAAGGACCCCCCCAAGGTCCGAACCAAGCTCGAACCTGTGACCTTGTAACTTGTAGCGGAAATGGCACGAACGTGTGATATGCCAGACTGGGGAGATGAACAGAACACCCAAGACCAACACCCCCAAGCAACCCATGTGAAACCCAGAACCAACATACAACACCATGAACAACCCAACCCTTGGGTCGTGCGCAGGCAGTGTCTGTAATAGTACCATGCGTCAGCCCAAGGGAGTGTGTCCAGCCGTGCGTCAATCTAACGCCCTGCCGGTGTCCATGCGCAAGCCTAGGTTGCAATTGAGTTTTGAACCCGCAACCTCATACCACAATGCGCATTTCCAACCGGTGCTCTAACCATTGAGCCACATCAACTGGACACGATCATAAAGTCTTAAGGTCAACCACCACTCCCCCCGATGTCAAAAACCTCGGGGGACCGGTAGCGCTATCTTAAAGTCTTAAGTCAACCATCACTCCCCCCGACGTCAAAAACCTCGGGGGACCGGTAGCGCCGTTTCACAAGGGGTGCCGGTAGCATAGACTGGAAAACCGGGTGAATGGCAAAAATGGAAATTGGAAATGCGCCCAATCCGCATGGCCATTATTTCACGCCGAAATTCACGGTCAAAATTTTTTTTTTTTTTAATTCTGATATTTTTCATGATTTATTTTTTTTTCCTGATATTTTTCCTTGAAAGATCACGACCCAATCTATGGACCCTCAAATTTCAGGGTTTTTCAAGAATTCTTCCGAGCACAAAAAATAATGAAAAAATCGCCAAAGTTGTGGCTTTCAAATGGCGGGATTGGACCTGCCGGTGATGAACGGTCGCCGCCCCTCCATAGAACCTGGCCCTAACTCACAGGGCCAAGGGTTTTCGGCTCTGGGGCGGAGTAGGCCCTCCGTAGAACCCATCCCTAACTCACAGGGCACAGGGTCAAGGGTTTTTGGCTGGGGGGGGGAGTAGAGGGCCAAGGGTTATCGGCTGTGGGGGGGAGTAGAGGGCCAAGGGTTTTCGGCTGGGGGGGGGAGTAGGCCCTCCGTAGAACCAGGCCCTAACTCACAGGGCACAGGGGCGAGGGTTTTTGGCTGTGGGAGGGAGTAAAGGGCCAAGGGTTTTCGGCTGGGGGGGGAAGTGGCGAACCCTGCCCTAACTCCCAGGGCCACGGATCACCCAATTCTCAAGTTAGCGATTTCTATAAGTGTAGGGATTTGAACAATATTTCATGGATTCGTTCTTGCACCCCTAGGTGAGGTCTCACTAGCAAAGTGGATTGGATGAAGCGCATGAACGTGGACGTGTTTCATGCAGAGATGCAGAAAGGCGGATCAATCCCCATTTTCTGCACCTCACCACAAACATGTCCAGGTTCGTGGCGTTAAATTCAATCCTCTTTGCTACTGGCCCCTTGCCCCCGATAGTTCGATTTTATGCCCTCTAGAGGCCTTGCTATCTATAATTTTCCTTTTTCAAGGAAGAAGACGCGACAATAAAAAACAAAAAAACAAAAAATCCTTCCTCAGTGCGCCAGATGCAATAAAAAAATCCGTTTTTTTTTTTTTTTTTTTTTTTTTTTG